TATTCAGCAAATATGAAATCAAAGGATAAATTAGTTTAATTTTAAGTGATATATTTTTAATATCAGTATGCTTGACATTTCGAGTTCAAAGAACTGCACATCACAGCGAAAATTTCTTCCTTCAGCAAAGTTGTTTCAGCCAAACAAGTGGGAACAGTGCTCGTGCAAAAGATGATGAACCTTGTACGAAGAAAATTTCGAGCAATGGCCTATGGTAAGAACGAAGACTGAAACAATGGTCTTAACATAAGCATAATACCTACTAATGCATAGCGTTTACATTGAACCAGTGTTGGCAAAATCAGAAATTAATTGATATTTTTCCGCTCTCATGCGATCGCAATATCACGCGTGATATTGGAACAAAATATCATGCTTGATATTGATTTTACCAGCTCCTTTGACTTATTGCGAGACTATTCACAACGTGCAAAAATCAAGCTAAGAGTTGACTCGACACGAAAATGATTCCATTGCACATCGTTTTCTTAGAAAGAGAAAGCATAGTTTGCTATCTCTTTTTAATCTTCACCAATGGCAGACGCGAAGGGACTGCTGCAAGCCGTTATGGAAGTTTCGGTTGCATTCGGGAGTAAAGCAAAAATCATTAAACTCAATCTCACCACAGTTTGGTGAGATTTGCAGTTAGTGAGTTTTGTTAGCTTGATATTCCGAGCTGCGATATCTCAGCTTGCAAAATCAACCACAGTTGTTTGCTTGTTGATTTTTGTCTACGAAAATCAAGCGTGATCTTGGGCGTTGGTGAGATTTGATTTTTTGATATTTTCTTAACACTGCATTGAACTATGAAAGATAAAACGCATTTTTGAACCCCAACAAGATATTCGTATCCGGATTTTTTCGTGTTCAACCTTTAGAACTCATCAACGGTAAGGACCACCCTAATGCCTTGAACTTAAAAAGATTGGCTAAAATAAAAATGCCTATAGGTGCAAATTCCAATCGGAAGAAGATTCGTTCGTTGTTGTTCTTCTCTGAGATTCTCGTGGTCATCCGCCGAAATCTCGGCAGATTTTCACCTGCAGAACCAGTGGGCAAAACAATCAGGTTCAATGAGTGAGTGTGAATGAGTGGGAAGTAAACAAGTCACTGACAGCATAGCACTATTGCACTATTTAATTCAGTAGCTCATTCAGCGCGTTCATTCTCCCGTGTTGCTACCCTGTCTTTGTTTTCATTGACTATATTCTCAATACAAAATGCCTTCCTTGCATGCAGCAAACGTTACAAGGATACTCTGAGTGTGGATAGAGCACAGCGCATCTATCGTAAAAGTGGCACTAGGGACAAAGAGTTGAGGAGAAAGGTGTTGAGGTACGTGAAAAGCAACCCAGGTGTCTCCATACGTGATTTGGCAAAGAAATACGATTCCAACTTTTCCACCGTGCGTAACATCCTTTCAAGAGAAGGATATAAGTCTTTTTGTGCCAGTGAACATCCGAATCGCTCCCTGAAACAAAATTTAGTGGCCAAAAAGCGAGCACGATTACTATACGAACGAGTTTTGATGAAATTTGATGGCTGATGATTAGATGACGAAACATATGTCAAAATGGATTATAAACAAATCCCCGGACGAAAATTTTACCTGGCAACTGGTCGTGGGGATGTGCTTTACAGGTATAAATTTGTTTTTGCTGATAAGTTTGCTCGGAAACTAATGATTTGACAAGGAATCTGCAGTTGTGGCCTTAAAACCAAGGTTTTCATCACGTCTCACACAATGACGTCGAAGGTTTTCATTAAAGAGTGTCTGAAAAAGCGGATTTTACCCTTCATTCGGCAACACAAGACCAACGTTATGTTTTGGCGGATCTAGCCAGCTGCCACTACTCTAAGGAGGTACTAGACTGGTATGCTGCAAACAATGTTAATTTCGTCGCCAAAGAGATTAATCCTCCGAATTGCCCTGAGTTCAGACCGATCGAAAAATATTGGGCAATTGTCAAGCGAAAACTTCGAGGATGCGGTAAAGAAGTTACAAATGCACAACAAATGCGTTTAAAGTGGAATAAGTTCGCCGGTACAGTGTCACCAGCGACTGTGCGGATCATGATGGCATCGATCACAAGTAAAGTGCGACAGTTCGTTCGAAACGGTGAAATGTAATAACATGTTATACATCGTTTGAAAGCTGAATAAATACCCTTTTGTTTGACGTTTTGATCAACCGTGTATGTTGTTTAATTCTTGAGTTATGTTCACTTGAATGCGTCCAAATTTACTTTGAATCGGGCTTTAGATCAGGGGTTGAAACAGTTGACGTTTTTTACTACACTCGCTTCGTTGTCATGCGTGGCAGTCTGTTTGTATTCGTACACTCATGCTCTACCGTCGTCTCTCTCACACAACACAAACGGCAGAATAACATTCGAGCAAAAAGAAAATTATCAAATAACTATCATATGACATGTGTGATTTCGTTCTAATTCCTCAATTTTGTGTAAAATAAACCATTTTTGATAAGAAATGTTATTACTAGGACATCATTGCTTGCCATTTTCTGAATTCACACAAGCACAACATCAGCAGCTCTTATTATGAGAAAAACTAAAATACCTTCGTGACGGTCTTGGGCGACAGTGTCGTATGACAGAGCATGTCATATGACATTTTAGTTTGGTACTGTACTATGATAGCTTGTTTTGCAGATTTCTGACGCAAAAGCAGTCGATTATCACAGAAAATGTGTTGACTACCGTGGCCGCCTTTGGCCAATGACTTCTATCGATGATTTCTAGGAACTCAAGGCACGCCCACGCAAACCAACATAACCGTCTCTTGCACCACCCGATGGTGTTGTTGATTTGCGTTGGCAAGCCTTAACTTTCTAGAAATCTTCAAAAGAAGTCATTGTTTACTAAAGCCGTAACGCCCTAATTCCAGCTCTATCTAGAGTTGTGTAGGAAAAAAGTCTCTCTATCCGATACGATTGGTGGCTTACATAAACTTTGAATTACTAGAAATTTGCGGAATAAGCCATTAATATAAGGCTATCGATAAAAAATTATTCGATTATTTTCAGCAATAATCGATTAGTACGAATAATCGAGAATTTATAGGACATCCCTAGTTGCAAGTTTCAATGACTTTTTAATTCTTTTTCAATACGCGAACCAGTTATCGATGTCAAACAAACAGTCAAACAACCAATGTTCAATATGAAAATATTCGATTTTCGGAATTGATAATCAATCAATCGAATGGAAACTTAACGTCGGTGTGTTTTACTGGATGTTTTAGTTATTCAACCATGTAGGGGAAATTACGTGTTCTCGTCAGTCTAAGCAGCGTCCGTGCTTCTATAGGCATTTTATCAGCGTCACGCACACATTAGACGTGTTTGTGTGTTTACAATGATTTGCTGCATGCTACTGTATCCATTCCAACCGGAAAAAAAACTGTACAACTGTACAACGCTCCAAACTTCTTAGGTGAGTGTGACTATTGTCGGCAATCTTTTTTTTCTTCGGCAACCTTTCCATTTGATCTGCGTGTTAACCTGCTGTTCTATTATCGGCAACTCGAAATCTGCCGCATTTCGTAGAACACATGTTCCATTTTAAGAAAAACCTTGCAAAATGCGTTTGCGCATTTGTAAAAATCTAATCAGAGCAAAGTCGGTTAACAAAATGAAGGCAAATCGATATTAAAGTTTGAAGTGCATATCATAATGAAAACTTATTTTGATTTCAATTTTTGCGACAGACGTCTGATATCATATTGTGCTTTCATTTTGCAGTCAAGACTTTTTAAATGAAAGCAACTTAACATGAAATTCTGCTGTTAACGTATTGTTTAAAATTTAATTTAAGTTCATCTGTCGTTGAACTAACGATTATTGTTTATTTATTTTGTTTCATACATTTTAGGTAATTCGTGACTTGCCCGGGGTGAGATTTGAGCTCAAGTCTTTCAGCGTGAGAAGCATGGATGCTAACCATTTACGCCAGGCCCATATTCAGTTGAACATTATGAATGCAAAATCAGTAATCTAATTGATTTCATTGAAAGCAGCATTAGTTGTCAATTTGATTTGACAGTGTAAAATTTTGCTCTCAGTTTTGCAGTTAAGTCAACCAAAATGAGATCAACTGGAGTATTCAAAATAATTTACATTGCAAAAGCAAATTTTGATTTCAATTTGATCTCCAGCTTTGCACGGGTAAGGAATAGTTTGAATTCATAAAGCGAAGTGTTTTGGTGAGAAAATGCAGTCAAATTACTGTTTAAATTTTGATTTCCGAAAACTGTTAACGGGTGCTGAAGCAATCATTTTCCCTACCTCATATAGTATCTGCGGAGCTAAACGAGTCTTGCCGTAGGTGATCTTAGTAATACCAACAATCAATACGAAACTAACGATTTTATTTTGGCTTACTACTTGACTAGCCTATTGGTCCCAAGCAAATTGATTAACGTACCTCATTCTAGTTGAAATTTTAGTACTACACTATGTTTGTTTTGATTCACTATGAAAGTTTGACAGATTAAATGAGAGGTTCGTGGATTTTCCTATGTTTCGAGGGGTGCATCGATTAGCTTGGGACCGAAGATAGTACCATAGAGGTAACTCTAAGACCAGAAGGTTCCGAAGAAACGTGCTCAACTTTTTGGCTCAGCTCTGGTACTAGTTAATCGATTCACCCCTTGAAACATAGGAAAATCCACGAACCCCTCATTTTGTCTGTCAAACTTTCATAGCGAATCAGAACAAACATAGTATAGTACTAGAATTTCGACTGGAATGGGGTACGTTAATCGATTTGCTTGGGACCAATAGGCTAGTCAAGTAGTAAACCAATTTAAAATCGATAGTTTCGTATTGATTGTTGGTAATACCCCCTATTCTACGCGGCGAGTGAGATGAGGTGTCTTTCAGTCACTAGTGCGGCGACAAAAGTCACCTCACGTGACGTAAGTCTCTGTGGTAAAGCCAATTGGAGAGTTACGTCACTCGGAGGTGACTATTGGCAGCTTACTAGTAACTGAGAGTGATCTCTCCTCACTAGCCGCGAAGGTACTCCGTTCGCTCCGCAGACACTGTATGAGGTACGTGCGGCTTAATAACTAGAACATTCCGTAAAATACGACGATGGCCTTTTCCCGGACGCCACACAACTCTGGATCAAATACCCAGTGCAATTCCATTAACCTGAAAACTCACTCACAGTCGGCCAGTGCCCGAAACCAGTGTGTCCGAATTTGACCTTATTGCGGCAGCCATTTTCCCCTGGCTCCCTTTTTTCTCTCTCTTTTTACATAATTCAAATAACCTACATTTTACGTACGTGTACATACATACATACATACATACATACAAACACGCACGGCCAGGCGCGTGCAGTGGCCGTTGGAAGTAAGTTTTAATTAAACACAACTCTCCTGTTGTGAAAACGCTAGCGGCGTCCGCACTGTCACTATTTCACGCAGGTATTGTTTATTATTATTAGGCAGCTGCTGTTGCTGCTGCTGCTGTTGTTGATGCAGTTGCAACTGCGGTGGCGGCTGCTGCAACGAGGTCGGGGTATGCTGCTGGTGGTGATTTTGCAGCGAGGTTGGCGTATGCTGTTGGCTGTGACTGTGATGATCCGTTGGCAACTGTTGTTGCAGCTGTAACGTTAATTGTGACTGATTTAGGGACTGCTGCTGCTGTTGCTGCTGTGTAGGCCCCTGCTGCTGGGACACGGGCGATATCAGTGGAAACGGCGAGGTCGACGTTTTGTAGTTACTGCCACCGTGGTCGATCTGGGCGTAGATAGTCGGTTCGTCGAAATAGTTGTAGGCCGGAGGGGGCGGTAGCTTTTTCAGATGATTGAGGTGATTTTTATTGCTACTGTCATCGTGAGGTATTGCTAATGCTAATTCGGCGTAGTGAACTTCGTTAGACGACTGTGTGTGTGTGTGTAGGGGGCATCATCCGGGGCAGCAATGCGGTCGGAGGAACCAGGTTGATTAGTGCCAAGCCACGTCGAACCGGGATGCACGTATGTCGGTGGTTACGGGGCCAAAAGCGTGAGAGAGAGAAAAAAGACAAGAACAGAAAATGTCATTAGTTAGATTCGGATGGATTCGGTTGGTGAAACACTGCTGGGAACCGAGAACGAGAACTGACGAGCTTTGTACGGTAAAAAGTATACTTAGTCTAATGGACGTGTATGCTGCACTAGGGTGCCCCACGTCGAACGTCCAAAACATGGAGACGCATGGTTGTTAATGAATTCTTGAGTTTCCCTTGGTTCACCATTTGATGACTGTTCCCCGCCAAGTTCGTCTTTTCTTTTTTTCGAACGAACCACCCTACAGAGGTCCTAGCCCGGAATGTGTACAATGTTGATGAGAATCATGTTTGACAGCGTGCAGGAGCTAAATTTATGCTCCGGGGAGCAGAACTCTGTCGGTACACGTGAGCTGGACTTTGGCCATCCGAGCGAGCCCTTCTAGTCGGTCGGATTCAGCAGTCTCTGCCCTCACCTGTAGAACGATGAGAGGAACAGAAGAGGCTCCTCTCGAGTTCCGATGTTAGATATACCTAATATAGCAAGGCAAACATATCGCGTAGCTGTGCATGTGCTATGGATGTGGGACGATTCGTGATGTTGGCTTTGGCTTTTCGGCAATAAATGGTACATTTTCGAGATAATTCAACACGCTTGGAGTGATTAAATGCTACTGGTCGATTGTGGTGATTTGCAATGACATAAGAGAATTTCTTCGTCAAATGAGCTTTCATTATTTTAGTGTTTCATGTATGTTATCCGATACAGTGTATCAAGAAACTGTACACTGCCGCTCATGGCAAGTCCGTCCCAAAGTCAGCAGGCCGATTAAACCGCGCTTTAAGTTTGATTCGCACCATGTAATGGGACAACCCGTTTGGCTGAGGCGAACTAGCCAAAGGCTGAAAGTAGGGTTATCAGTACCGGATACTTTTTGTGAGTACTGGTATTTCGGCATTGAGAGGTTCAGTACCGGTACCAAGGGATTTTACGAAAATAAATGGAAAAAAGTTAAGGCTTGTGTCCAAAGCATGACCGCATTGTTGACGTAGGACTACGAGGCTATTTTTGCTGCTCCATTCAATAATATATTCATAACACAATAAATGGCTTTGACACATAACTCTATCTAACTATTCATTATTAGAATTTTTGAAATTGGGCGGTTATTGAATAAATCTTAAAATTAAGATTCAATTTTTGAAATTGAAATATCAGTTCATTCATTATTCATAATTCAGTTCCCAAAATGTTCACCCAACTTTCGGAAACTTACTAGTCATGGCAGAACAACTTTAGAAATCAAAGTGCACCTGGCATCACAAATTGACGAGGCTTGGTAGCTCAGTGGTTACCGCTTCTGCTTACTGAGCAGAAGGTAGGGAGTTCAATTCCAGGTCCGTCCCCTCTTCCTTGAAATTTTTCACTTTACCTTATTATATCCCCACTAAATTTAAATGAAAATAAATTCTGCTTTAACCAACCGATCATCGCATCACTTACCACAGATGCATCCTGATCTAAAAATAACCCACCTCACTAACACAACTATCCTCCCCGTGAAAGCCGTTGAGATGCAGAGGTGTATTCGGTCTCTAGTAATAACGGACGTCGAACTAATCATCCTTCCCTCCCCAAAAGACCGTGAGGACGTGGCCGGCGTTGTGATTGATCTATAAATAGATTGAATAGTGTGCTGAAGATGGAAAACAAATCCCATGCACCATCTACGTGGTTCTCTGTGCAAGTGCATTAGTTCTGATCAATCACGGAGGAGCAACTAGGTAGGAAATGCACGGTCTTTAATTTAAAAACAAAGTACGCCTGACATCACAACCATATATGTTGCAGAACTATGACAGACAAGTGGCTTTCAACTGAAACTTATTTCAGTTAACTTTAATTCAGTTTATATTTATTTGTGATCATATCTATATGTTGTATATAACCGAATAAATGGAATTGGAGTTGGAACGTAACACTAAAATTCGTAATTTGATGTATTCATCTCAACAACTTTTCCAAAGACAGCAACGTTAAAGTAACTAATCAGAATGGTAAATAAGCGACGACAGATATGAGAATTCTGATCTGAGCTGCCCAGTATACAATATGGCTTATCCATATGAATAACTTGACAAAAGACAGCAACCTCCTATCTAGTTGAAATGTAGACTGCTTAAGCAAGCTTTTTGTATCAAACCAGCGCTGCATGGGGAGTGAATTCTGAGGACAATCATGCGATAGGTTTTGTCCATCCGAATAACTTCACTAAATACACAATCCTACTTTCTGGTCGTGCTGTCAAGTTAAAACATGGAATTGAGTTCTTCAGGGGTTTTGAGGTAATTGCATATTCGTTATCTGCATTACAAATGGATCCAAAATCCAAAGTTTCATCAAATGTCGAGCACTGGAACTATTTTAAATAAGTTTGATTACATTAGCAAAAATCACCATCTCAGCGCCCCTCGGTGGTACTTTGTATGGGTGCGAGCTGTCATTTTGTTAGTTTTATGTCAAACAGAGAAGTGATTATTTTGCTTTCAATCTTGATTTATAAATCGAGACGGAAGTAAATGGGATCGGAAAAAAAGTCTTTGCGTTCAGAAAACGATGCCCTTTCAGATGATGTATAGTAACCGATATATTAAAAGAACTCTATTTGGTTCCAATTGACCATCCAATAGGCCTTATACATATGAATCACTTTTAACGTAGGACTACGTCTGTGATTTCCATATGGGGGTACACTTTGTGAAAACCGATAATGGAACATGTAACAAAATTATGAAAGATTTTGAACGTTAATAACTCAGCTGCCAATGGACCAATTTCAATAATTTTATCACCAATCGATCAGAAATATTTCAACGCATCTGTTAAATTTAAGACATTATTTTTCAAAATGTCACTATTGAAAATTGCACGAATGTGCAACTGTTGCTATGATTATTAAAATTTTCACCGATTGCGTGCGATTTTCCTAACACAGATTTCAAAGTTGAATTCCTTTCGGTCTCATCCAACGGTGTTTATTCAATCACCGCGTGGTGAGTGGTGGTGTGTAGGGGCCTCCCTTAGCTCAGTCGGTAAAGGCGCAGCTACAATGCTAAACCATGCTGGAGGTGGCTGGGTTCGATTCCCGGTCCGGTCTAGGAATGTTTCGGGTTGGAAAATGGTGTTGTATAAACAGAGTGAACCACGCTCAAATTCATATTCCTACATAAACCACAAGCTCTTGCTGCAGTTAACAAATAAGATTTATTATATAAGACCACGTAGTCCTACGTCACCATTGCGTACAACCCCATAGGGCTGTCCCTTGTCGTTTTTTTTCTAGCTGATATGTCAAGTTAAACCACCGACGAACCGACGTGACAGCTGTATTCAAATTCTAGCCCAAGACGTCATATTTAAAATACGTTAAACACTACCGCCATTTACTCATCCGATCGCGTCATATCGTGAACAAAGACACGAAAACACGTGAAATTTATATTGTCTTGGTTTGCGTCTCATCTCGTTTGACAGATCTGATCGCCCGTTTGATAGATCGAATCGCTCATTTGACAGATCGAATTTCGGACAAACGAAACGCTCCAGTTGCATGTCGGTTCGTCGGTGGTTAAACAATCAACTTAAAGCGAAATGGCACACTAGCACTGCCGAGTGAGTGAACGAGTTGTGCATCATCCAATAATTACCACTAAGTTGAACAACTTTTCTTAAGACACCTTGTATTTAACCGAGAAGTCATGTTGAGCAAGTAATTTGAATTTAAATTTCACACTAGTGCCACCAAGTGAGTGATTTCTAAACTGAACTGAATCTTCCAATAGCTATTTTATAGGTTTCAAGCAATGCGGTCGCAGCTCTAAATAAAAATCGTCCAAAAATGTCACTAGGTTTTTGATTAATTGTAGATGTTGTCCCTGAGGCTTCCATCTAAGCGAGTGTCACGTTAAAACGTTCCTACCCATTTCTTTTTTTACCTGCATTCAGACGTAGCCGGCGTTGGTATTGCATAAGGTCTGTATCTACATTAATCCGGACACCTTCAAATCACTATAACTTTTGAAATATTTCACGTAGGAGTGACAAATTTCGCTAAGGTATAGCTGGGCGTCATTGATGAAAAAGACTATGAGTGGTGTTTACATTCCATGTTTAGTGTTCAAGATGGCGACGAATGAAAAACATGTGCGTGAGCGGATTTTGTACGGACGTAATGCAAATTCAGACTTGTCAATACAGGAACTTGCAAAAAAATGGATTTACCTAGATCCACTGTTCACGGTGTACTCAAATCATTTTTGGAATGTTTGACGGTCAAGAGGAAACCGAGAAGTGATGAAAACATTGGACGTGTCATGGAGCGAAAGTTGAAGAGGATATTGAAGGAAAACCCGAATCTCTCTGTTTGAACGGTGGCTCATAAATAAGAATGTCACCTGGTTTTGTCCAAAAATCAAAACAGCGTTTGGGGCTGAAGTCGTATAAAGTAAAAACAGTTCCAAATCGCAACGACAAACAAAATTTGACAGCAAAATCACGGGCTCTGCGTTTGTACTGCGAAAATTTGACGAACTTTTCATGTGTTGTTTTGATCGATGAAACTTATGTCCTGGAGGATTTTAAGCAGCTTCCAGGGCTGCCTTTCTATTCTGCTATGGCCAAACATGCTACAGCTGAGAATTTCAGGACATCAAAATTTCCTAAAATACACCTTATTTGGCAATCAATTTTCACGTGTGGCCGAAATAGTAAATGTTTCGTCACTACAGGCACAATCAACAAGGAGATTTACCAGAAAGAGTACCTGGAGAAGCAATTGCTACCCTTCATCAAAAGCCACAAAGAAAACCCTTTGTTCTGGCACGATTTGGCATC